GTCTGTGCCCGTTCAAAACAAGACCCAATCGTGTTCTCTGAGCCGCGTTTTGTTGCCATCTTCTCCAGTGATTGTTAGCCATTCAAATGGTCTACAGTGAGTACTACCGGGTCTCACCGTCCTGGGCCGCCAGGGTCGCGGTGGCACCGGCCGTGCTGAATGCCGTTCCCGTTTCATCCGCCACAGCATCTGTGACCGTCTGCGTGGCGGTTCCCTCCGGAGTGGCCACCGACGTCGAAGAGGAAGAGGCAAAGGCGCCTTTGAGAGCTGCAGGTAAAGCGAAGAAGAGCTCACGTCATCATCACCTTGAATGGAGTGAATTGCTGGAGCGTAGCTACTTGCAACATGGGTGGCAATGGGGGACAGACAGATATGGTCTTTGCGTTTACGGCACCATGTTTGCCTTCACGTTTTCACGCTCAAGACGTGTAAACACAGAAACGGCTATGTTTAGGTATTGCCATGCACTTTAACGCATAAAGTCTGGGGACAGAGACGGAGTTAGGGACAGTCTCTAGCCCAGGGATCATTTGTTGATTGGTTGACCGATCGATTGGTTGATCAATTAGCCGATTGATTCATTCATTCATTCATTCATTGAGTCATTCGTTATCTGTTCGTTTGATTGAATAATGAATGTTCTGTGTTTCCCTTGTGCTGGAAGTTGGGGGTTGCTTCCATGCCTTTATCTGAGATGTTTCTTGAATTGGAACAAATTACAAATGGACTATTTTATGGAATCCCTTATTTATTAACTTACTGATGTTTTTGTTGGTAGTCAGATGGCTACTCACATTAATTGTTGTTTGATTTGTGTTCGCCTGTTGAAAGCGTATTAAAATTTGATTACATAACGTCAAGATTGATTTGTTCTGGAAGCAGTATTGTCTTCAAACCTTCCGATCAGCGCATCCCATTACATGTTTATCCCTGTTACTGCAACTGGCAGCAATAGTGGTAAACGGAATTTTAATTTGCCGTCTATAACAATTAAATGTTGCAAGAATGCGTCCACACAATAACGTAAAGTAACAAATCGTTGCAATAATAGTGCTATTATTGCATTAAATGTCATGCAGTGCACTTTTTGACATATAACGTCAACAGTGTCTCCCATCGTCTGACAAGCTCAGTGGCGTCATATTTTCTGGATGTTGGGCGTTTTGAAGGCAAAATTTCACCTCAAACTAGGGCCGGCGAGTTACATCCTTATTTTGTACTACTGGTACCCAGGGGTCATGAAATAGCAGCAACATGTGGATTGAGATCACAACAAGAGCCACCAGGGAGCTGTGCAGTCTGTCAAGCGCAGAAATGTTGTTGCAATGAGGATTCAATGTTCAGAGTGAAATTCTGGCTTCTTGAAAGCAATGTCTGCAGCTGGATCTTCCATATTCTCGGTGCTTGGAATGTTTGGCCAATCAAGTGGTCACTTATAGGCTTCGGCCATTTGCTTGCACACTTCAAATCACTGTACTTGCACTTTGGAGGCGACGCCGACCTTTACTCGCTGTATATGTTCACCAATAGATAAAGAAGAGCATTTCCCAATCATGCGAAAGCTGAGTTCAGCACTTTGGTATTTCTCGGACCTCAGCCTACTCGCGGTGCGCTCGAAATTGCGATTGTGACGGAAGGATTGAACGTGTGTCAGCCACGTAATGCGCCACTGAATCGGACCAAATTGAGATGCTGAAGCATTAAAACAAACCAAACCTAAAGAAATCAGATTTGGTTTGGGCCATTTTGACCGTGTGGCACAGTCTGCCAACGCTCCTCGCGGAGCGGCACAGCCTTGTAAACGATAAGGTGAAGTCTCGCTGAAGTCTCGGAAGAAAGTGCAGGTTTGAGGACTGCGAAATTCAGTAGTTAGGAAATGGCTGTCTCAATTCTTTCCAAACTGTTGCCCGTACAATATTGCACGTGCATTAATGTTTAATAGCGTTAATGGCGTGTTCGCTACTGTCGGTTTTTCAATCGTAGGAACAGCATTCCCGCCATCGACACGTACCTCTAGTGGATCCTTCTGCCGAAAATGCATCTGCATCCCGGGCATGAGCTCCTGCAACGTACAGTTTCACACTCAGCGAATTGCAGAAGCCAACTGGCTGAACTAGACGCCTGTGCAAGCGCCTGCATGAAGGATGCTGAAGACACCGAATAGTGTCAGAAGGAGACATTCAGCGGCAGGTGTTGGGCTGATTGCTGATGCTCACCTTCCAAGCGCCTGGAGTCTGCGCAGGCAGCAAGGACCGCCTGCACCGGAAGGGAGATCAGAGTAAATCCATTTGAAACCATTTTGGCTGCGTATTTCACAACATGGAATACCACTTCTCTTGCGCCTCTAAGCCGAAGTCGGGCGGACTGAACACGAACGGGTGATGTCTGCTGCTGGCCAAACACCGCCGTCCACGGAGAGGCGCGAGCCGGGCATATCTGATGCTGGTGACGATAACGATAATGGAACGGCAAAGTCAGCCACCATTTCTGTAAATAGCGAATTTACCAACTTTGTCATTCTACAAAGGGTGAAGTGCGAGCAGAAGACAGTGAAACGCCCACGTATCGCCGACTGTGGGCCAGTAGACGTCAACGCACGCGCCACTGCGTCACCGCCAGTATCTACGACACAGCACCATGCGGCAGCCATGGCCTGTGGGGGGTTCTTCGTTTGGACAGGCCGCTCCTCACCGTCGGCGTGGGATTGGGTACTCACCAACGCAACAGCCAACAAGAGCTTGGTGGCGGGCGACTGGCGGGGGGCGGTCATTTTGCTTCGGCCTTCCGCAGATGCTGCAGGCTATTGGAAATGCACATTGGCGATCAGCGTCTTTGGGGAAGGTATACGGGACACACGGTTTCGAAGGCCACTCGATTTCAAGGCATGCGGTGCCAGCAACGCTCCGGGGATTTCCCACGATGCGCTCTCAGCATGGGAACCTTGGCGGGGCGGTGTGTGCAAGGATAGGCTGGTCCAAGCGCAGGAGAAAGCACCCGGCCGCCGCAGCTCGTGTGTGCACTCTTCCACGGCGCTACAACTCGCGGCAAGCTCTGGGCGGGAGTGCCCGCGGCAGCAATAGACATTTGCAGCTGACGTGAACGATCCCGAAACGCCGGAGCAGAACATCCTAACCCCTACGACGGCGCGCCTGTCGCTCCAACTGTGAGCATCGGTACTGGTATCCATGCTGAATGCATGACCAGCCTGATGGTGATGCATGATGTGCGGAGACAACAGCCCACACGCCGCGCAATCCCTTGTGTTGGGGACCCACTTGCAGACGCCGGATCTGGCAAACAGGCACCTCTTTCGAACACGGCGCGCGCTTGATCGTTGCCTTCCCCACCTGTGTATCTAAGAGGCCGGCCAACTCTGGCCCCCGTCCGGGCTGTAAATATGCCACGGCCTCATCGGGAGCCTGCCAACCTCGGATCGCCAAAGCTGTCGGCAGCGCCGACGGGCGGAGGGCCGTCGAGAAGTTTGTGTGCGGCGCGGGAGGGTGGCTGCCAGTGTGGATGCGGCGCAAGCTGGCTGGTGCCGGGAAAACACACCGACATGGCGTTTACCCTCGTCCGCAAATCGTCATACGCCGTCAAGAGCGGCCTGCCACAGTACTGACGCGCCCAGACTACTGTGGCGACTTTGAGCTAGTAGACATGCTGGACTGATTGATTTGACAGGTTGACTTCCATGCTGTGGATGATGAAGTACGGCTTCCCTGCCCAACGCAGCGACGGGCGGCCAGTTGCGGTTGGGAACCAGAAAGCTCTTTCAGGTCAGTCGCCATCTTCTGTGCTGCAAGAATGACGAGATGAAATGCGTCCAGAAAAGCTGAAGATCATGAGGGTTGGTCTTTCAGAAGGTATGGATATTTCACTCATTCCACTCCTGCTGGCTTCAGATCTGGCGTGAGAACAGCGCCATCGAATTTGGGATCAGAAAATGTGGGCATCTAATCTGGTAGCATGTGTTGCAACTGTAGATTAGGAACACCAGTTTTTACTCACTGAACGACTTGACTGAGGCCGCGCTGGATGTGCTGGAAGTGTCGTTATCCTACTGTAATGTCGGTACGGCGCACAACCACCTGCACCCTGCATAATCCTAGTCTTTGCGAACAGTTGGTAGTGGCCCAATCATGCCGAAATGAGTCGAGGTTGTGGTTATTTCAGGACAGTTATTGGCAAGGGGACGTGGCACGTACAGCTTCTATCGAGGAAGTATTGCGTGCACTTTGATCACCCAATGCGCGTACACATGGGTAGCATTACACAGCTGGGAAGCCTGCCACGCGACCTTAGATTTTAATAGCCATTGTAGGCAAGGTGGGCAGCCTCAATGGCTGTAAATTGACACATTCTAAAGAACTTTCTTGAACGCTGAACATTCCAGGGAGGTTTAGGAACAAGTCACGAGTGTGTTGCTGCTGAGCAGCAGCGTTTTGAGGCTTCTTTATACCTTGCTTACGTCGATTTTGTTGCAGCTGCATAATCTATTAGTGTCACAGCTCTGGACGACCCCCCCACCCCCCCTAGCGTCAAGTCGATGCTGAGCACAACAAAATCGGCATAGTTTATTTCCTCAATTCGTACCGAAGTCGACGCATTGCAGTCCCTAAAACCCAGCATGACTACATGTTTACGGTGGGAGTTGAAAAGGGTTGAATTTGGAATTGAGAGGCAACGTACTCCGTTGCGCTTGCTGCACCTTGTCAGTCCTGCACTTCTTGCAAGAAGTGTCGTACAATTCTGGATAAACTTGACACTTACTGCAAAAATGCATTTTAAATTGTTTGGAATATGGCCTCAACAAATTGCGCAGAAGTTCTTTCTTGCCAAGGCCGAATGTTGAAACACGTGTTTCATTCGTTGCTACAACAACGGTGAATGTCTTATTGACACTAACAACAGCACAGCCCAAGCACTAGCTTCATGTCGAAGCGAGTTCACCTACGCTTCTCTAATCAAAGTGTCCAATCAAAGCCAACGGCCACCCAATGCTATCGCGCCCCCTGCAGTTGACTCAACAGCTTGTCGATCCGATATTTCATGACAGGTTGGCCTTTCCTTGTCTTCTTCAAGAACTTTGCGCAGCGTTTCTTCCTCGCCTCCTGCATGAACGCCACATATGCAGTGTAGCCCACATCTCCATCGGCCACAGAAAATGCATCACGAGACATCAGGGTTCAGCAAGAGCCCATGGACAGCAAAACGAAAACAACCCGCACAAATGGGGTGGCACTGTTCAGTTCGTTCAGGGCAGCCCACCTCTGCCTTGAGCCGCAATTTCCACCTCTCTTCTGCTGCTTGTCGTCCCTGACAATGAAGCCCCACATTGAGCAGAACTCAAAGCACAGAAACTGGCGCCAGCCCTAGAAGCATGGACACACAACTGGAAGCAAACCTGAACAGCTGGGGGCTCGCACTGCCTCACGCAACCCTCTCACCATAATTGTTCGTTAGAATGTGTCAAATGTTTTGTCTTCACTGATCTTTACACTTTTCTTTATTTTTGTTCTGCAGTTTTTCTGTCCATTTCCTTCTTTAGCCTTGACACTCACAGTGCTTGGATGCGCCCCAATCACAAGGGGCTTGTGATGGCCGGACATCAGTACATTTGCTGCCACTTGAATACCAGCACAACATTCAGGGTAGCATCTTTTCTGTTCTTGTCTGTTCCTTTCTTTCCCTTTGGGGCCAGGTGGAAGAGGACCTTAGACCAGAAGAGCTTCTCAGCGAACGGCGCAGATGAAATGGCAACCATTTGTCTAAATCTGCTTCTTTGTCATCATTGTTTGCAGTGCAACATTCTGGTATCTTCTCCTAAAAAACACTTCATTGCTTCACATGTTTCAGCATTGTTGCTTGGCAGTAGCACCTGACATTACCACTGTTTTTCCCCCTGCTGTGGATAACGACACACTCTGCAATCTGCACACGCACCTCCTCTCTCTTCTTCTGTTGCTCTGCCTTCTGGGCACGCACCGCACGTGCAATGTGCTCGACAGTGGGTTGAGGTTTTCCTCGCTTTTTGGCACCAAACGCATCTTGGCGTTTTACAGGCTCATGTTTCTGATGGCCATCATTCGCTCCTGTGGAATCGGCACAGTCTGTCCTGTTGGCTGTCTGAATTGTGGGTGGCACTTCAGCAGTATTGGGGTCCTCTTTGATGGAATTCTCTGACTCCGACATTGCTTCTGAGCTGCTCTCACGAGCTGGTTCAGCATTGACTGGCATGAGATCGGCATCAGTAGCACAGGGGCCTTCGGACTCCTTTTTGGAAAATGCACACAGGGATGTGGGTGCCAAATCAACAGCATGTAACAAGTGTTTTGTTTGAGACCCTGCCTGCCATTCTTGATCTTGCTGCAACCAAAATGCACCTATTTTCGTTTCTCACCAAGACATCCACACATTTCCCTGCTGCATTTGAGTGCGTTTGTTGCACCCATCTCAACAGGAAATCTGTGTGCGTTCTCTCCGTTGTAGGGGTGACATAGCCTGTGGCGCCCTCAGGAGCTGATCGCATTTATCTTACGATGAGTGCAAGGTTCTTCAGCACTGTGCAATACCATGGGGGTCCCCCTACTGGCCATCTATCTGCATGAACTGTACTGTTTTCACGTTGCACAGTTGAGATCCAGGCAGTGCTTGGCACGATGTTCATTTTGCTTGTCACGTTCAGCCGATTCCCAAATGGTCTTTCGGGTGGAGCAAAGCCTCAAATGATTTCGTGGAAAGGTAGGACCATTGTTGACCCCAGCCTCCTTTCCTTGACAATTACTGCCTTCCACTGCGCACCACCAGTGTTCAGCTGAGGACACAGATCAAGAGGCACGCCAATCAGAACTTTCAGCCGCTCAAAAGGCGGCCATCAATCAAGATTCGGCACCACAGAGTCTGCGCCATGCAACTTCAGGTGCACACGCCTCTGTCAAGGCCACCGATGGCATGACGCCCTGCTGACTCGCCAGGCCACCCACGAGCCCAAGTCTCCCACCCAATTTCCCCCACAGGACGCACGGGCCCGCTCCGCACGCGCCGAACCTCTGCCGCCGGCCCGGCCATCGGCCCCAGCCTGCCCTCCGCCTCCAGCCTGCTCCTCACGTGGCTGTACGCCCTCCGCTTCTTGGCCCTCATCTTCCGCTCCCTGCCTCTGCCCCACATGAACCTCTGGTACCCGGACGCGACGCCGCCCCTGGCGCCGAGGCCCCTCTGGGCCCGGCCCTGTCCTCCCCCTCTCCCCATGAGCACACGGGCGACAGTTTTTTGTCCGCAAGAGCAAAGCCTTGGGCGCACACAACGGTGCCAAATCGCCCCCAGATTTGGCAATGAGGCGGTGTGGGGCAGGGGAGGAAATACGCGTGTCACATTGTTTGTCACTCGAATGCGCAAGACGTAGGAGCCGCTGTGTGGGTGCGCTGGCCCGGCCCACACGGCACATCGGGCCCCGGTGACTGCCCGGCTAAGCGGGCGGGGGGGGGCGGGGGCGGCGCGAGAGCAGGCCCCGGGGACGCCGGCCGATTCCGCCGCAGCCCCCCGGAGCGCGCAGAGGGCGGGGCAGGCCGCGGCGGCCCGCTGGCCGGCCGGCTGGCCGTCACACACACTCCCTTCCTCGCGGTGATCGGCCCGCGCGACGGGCGTCGGGGCAATGGGGAACCTGATCTGCTGTGCGGGCGGCAAGGCGTCGCGCACGAGGGACGACGGGTGCCTGGAGGACGCCGACGTAGCCGTGGGCCTCATGGCCGTCCCGCAGGCCGGCGACGACATTTCCCAGGAGCCCGCGGCCGGGACCGGGCAGGACAAGAACGGCAAGTCGGGCGGAATCGTACCGCTGGGCCGGGACGAGGATTCGCTAAAGGTGGCCAGGCCGGGGGACGAGATGCTGTCGCCCTTCCTGTCGGTGGACAGCGACGTGGAGGTGCCGGAGCCCGTGGCGGAGCCCACCCCGGGCGGGCTGGCCTCCCACCCCACGGAGCTGTCCGACAGCGGCGGCAGCGGCGCCAGCGGCGCCAGCTCCGATCCCGGGCGCCGGGATCCCGGCCCCAGCCCGCGGCGCGCGGAGTCGGACCCTTCAGGGATGTCCACCCGCCCTCCAACCCCCAAGGGGATTCTCAAGCCCACACCGCGGCTGGCGTCCAGCGACATGCGGCGCGTGGCGGGGGCCTTCAGGAGCCTGATCGGCTTCCTGACTGCACGCAGGCTGTCCGCGGCGCCGAGACTGGAATCCCAGGGTTTTGAGCGGGCGGCGGAGATGCGGCCGCCCGGCCCGCCGAAGCACGTGACGTTCCGCCTGCCGCCCGAAGTGATCACGTGGTCGGCGGAGGAGGGGGAGGGGCTCGAGGACGGCAGCGACGGGGGAGGGGAGGAGGGCGAGCGGAGGGCGCCGTTCGCGGGCAACACGCCGCGGAGGCTGAGAGTGGATCTGGACGGGGAGGAGGGAGGGGAAGTGGCTGATTCGGCGGTAGACCGATTGCCGGAGACGGAGAATGGGGGGGAGGGGGGGTGCCAAGCGGGGGAGGGGGTTTGCCAAGCGGGGGAGGGGGGCGGGGGCAATGAAAATGGGGTGGGTGAGGAGGGTGGCACGGGGGTGCTGGTGGTTGATGAGCGGCCGGTGGGGACGGGCCAGGGGGGTGGGGCGCTCCCGGCCTGTGAGTCCAAGCAGGGGGGTTGAAACAAATGAGGCGGGGGAAGGGCGGAGGCTGGGGCCTCACTGGCGCTGAAACACACTCTGCCCCAGGCACTGTTGCCTGAGGCGTCTTTTGGGACGATTTTGCGGTTTGGGAACGAACAATCCATGGAATGGACCCCTCATAAGTGCGCGTGTCTGAAGGAGGACGCTCCCCACGCTCCTTGAGTCGGTTGCTCCCATAATGCAGCATGGCATGCTGGAGACTCTCATTGCAGTGGGGCGCCTTGCAGAGCCATGACAAGAGCAACCCCTTCAGGGAACCCCAAGGCATGAAATAAGTGTGTTGGACGCTTTGCTGGAAGGCGAATGGTGGCTGGCTCGCCAGCGCGGGCCATCATGCCGCTGCCACGGCTCATCTGCATTCCTTGGTTGCAATAACGGAGTGCACGCGTGCACATGCGGTTGCAGTTTTTCTGTCCTGGCCAGAAGGGGGGGCAGAGAAATGATGGAGAATGCTGGGGACCTCGCAGAGGCGGGGCTGCCGTCTCTGGTTTCCTCACCAGCAGCGTCGGGCATGGGATAGGAGTAGAACACGGCGGCGTGCGATTGTGTGATAGCGTGAAGCATAAAGTGGTTGGTTTGCCATGGAGAAGACATCTGCTAGCTGCTGGCATGCGATTGGAGAATGGGAAGACATCGGCAGGCTAAAGCCGACAAGGCTGGCTCGACCAAGGGGGGCTGACTATCGCTGTGGGTTTTCGTGGCGTGGATACTGCGACTCATTTTTCTTGCAGTGTCTGTTTGGTTTTGACTGATATGGGCCCTCCAGACTTCGCTGTCAATGGTGATGTCTTTCCTGGTCAGTTTGGCCTTGGCACTCTCAGGCCCATTGTCCATATTTTTCTCGTTTGCTTTCTCCGACTGGGGTTAGTTGTACTTGTACACTTGATTATTGTTGAATTGTTTTGCGGGCATGTACCGCATGGGTGCGGTGCGGAGCAGAAGAACTGAGACTGGCAGGGGCCAGCTTGCAGCGGGAGTGCTCAGAAAGGGACATAGGTACGCCTCCACTCCGGTTGCTGACAGTGTAGGCCGGCACATCCCATTTTGGGCGAGGTTGCCCTTTTGAGGGCTGACTCTGACGTGTGACTCTGTAGGTCGAGTGTGAAAAAAGAAGCTTGCCCAAACTCCCTAGCTTGTGCTTGGCTTGCGAAGTCTTGTCTTCAACACATCTTGACAATCTTGGCGCTCGGTTCGCAATGGTTTGCACGCCAGAGAATGTACGCCTTTCGAGTATGTTTCTTATTTTGCATGTCCTGGTCATCAGCGCGCTTCCCTGTCCCTGCGCACCACGGTATGTACAACGCCTGTCCTCTCTGCAGGACGAATTCTCTGTCAAACTGCCCGACAATTTGCCATACCACCCCTCTTCAGATGTTGCGCCTCTAACTGGTGGCCACAGCTTGCTTCAAAGGAACTGGCTTTCTTGCTGAGACTGAGGAACCCGACAGCAGGAGTGCTGAAGCGCAAGTCACCCTCCGCGCTAGGCGAACTGATCAAGTAACCTTTGCACTACGAGCAGTGCAACCAGCGGCCAACTGGGGCATCTGTTTCGCCGTGGGCAGAGCAGCCTGGGCATTGATCACATGGTCCTTGGCAGCGCTCTGTTCCTCCAGGCGTAACACAGTCTGTCGTAGCGTCTCTGTGTGCCTCTGTGGCGCCGGTATCTCCATTTTCTACCTGGGCGATCGGCTCCCACATTGCAAGGCAACGTGTGGTGACAGGGGGGACACTCTCGCACCCAGGTCAATACACGATGGCGTACAAGGTGCTCACCACTTCCCCTCGCACAGCATCCCGGGCACTGGCCGCCCTTGCACTTGGCGGCCGATGCCAAAACACTCGAAATGCCCCACTCACAAGCGATTTGCAGGAGCAGTCGCGACCATGCCCAAGTCAGGAACTTTATCTGCGCCATTGTTCGGGCGCAGGATGCTTGTGACGTTAGCTACGGTCCATCCCCGTCGAGTGAGCAACTCCAACGGAGCTCCTGGTGACAAGTTTCCGCTGTGTATCAGCAAACCAAGGCTGCACGACTATCCTGATTGGTCTTACGCATAGATCGCACTGCGACCCTCTCGCAGGCCCAGAGCATCCCCGCGCCCTCGCCACGAACAACCCCTGGAATCGGAAAATCGTAGTGGAGGATCTCATTTTCGCGACTGCCGCATTGGCATGCTCGTATCGATCAACAAACTGGCATGTTTGGCAGTACCCTGGACGAGCCTCCCGTTTGGGCCATCATTCGATTCAACCCGCCATCTCGCCTCGGCTGACGATTTTCCAGTCCGCACGTGTCTTCTGTAGACTCTCTCATTTGCGATGCCCAGTGGGCAGGAAGCAAACCACCTCTCATCCAGCAGCTCCCGAACTTGGCTCCACGGCTCAATTTCTGGTGACAACGCTCGCTAGCTCAGCATGCAGAGAGCACTGATTCACGCAAGGGCGCCGCACAAAAAGCCCTGCGCCGCATTCTTCCCGTAGTGATGTCGGAGCCACGCCATTCTCCCGTGCGGATGGATTGCACACCGTGCTTCATCAAAGACACTGGTGCTGCCTGTGCAGGAGCACTTCCAACCCCCTCCAACCCCCTCCATCCACCAGTTTCCAGATCATTGTCAACGCAACAACACACAGCTTGTGCCAGGAAGTAACGCGCAAGTGCATACCGTGTCACACAAACGATGTCCGGCACTACCATGCACCGAACTGCGATTAACTGCATTGGTTGGCGCACTGGACTGGGGGCGTTTGTGAAGGGGTTATGTTACACAGCATATCCCTTCAGCCCGCTGCCACCGAATCATCGCATCCACAGGCTTGGAGCACTGTTTTGGGACAAGCGCCACAAAGACTCAGTACTTCACAGTACTGCGCTGTATCGCTATTGCTTGAAATGGCGCGTTGGGCTGGTTTGCAATGGCGTGAATCCTTGCTGGCAACTGTGAACAGGCACTGCGCTCTCAATGTCCGACACAGTCAATCAGCAACCAAGTCAACAGCAACAAGACCAGGCTCATGAGGTGGCTCCGCGCATTGGGTGTCTGGCGGTCTGGCACCGAAAGGCACCCCGTGGCTGCGACACGGTTGTACATGCCATGGACTGAAAAGTGTACCCTGCTGTCAAATCGCCGATTGCAGGATGCCACCATTATCGTAGCGGTGGGAGGGTATTGGGAACAACTGCAATTACCCACCCAGGAGAAGGTAGTTGCCCTCAACGATGACCAGCCTTGTTCCACTCTGCACCTTGATGTCATCCTCAACAGGGTCTCCGCGGCCATGATCGAAGCTCGGCAGGCTTGCAGCGCCAGTCTCTCGGATTCGCCTCAAGGCAGCCACAAAGCCTGCTGCATCAAAAGTCCAGTGCGCACCACGATGCAAATAGGCCTTCATGGGGTCCTTCATGCTATCCAGCTGGGCTTTGTAGTAATGAAATCCTGGGCCATCGTGCAGCGGAATTAGTGATGTCGGCACCAATCAGATGGCATGGAATGTCAACACCAGGTGTTCTTGGCTTTCGTTTTGGGCTATACAAGATTGATTCCATCTGCTGACACTTCAGCAGCAAAGTGCACGGCACCCATAGCACCAGAGCATGCATTCGGAGTCGCTGAATCGTAGAATCGCCAAGTGCATACGCTAGACGTGGGGACACACACAATTACTGCATGCATTTCCCCTTGAGAGCATGTTTCCCTTCTGTTTCATACCGGGGTGCTCGCTGGAGTGACTGATGTTCCGTCCAGGAAGGAGGTTTACGAAGTCTCGATGAATTCGCTCAGAGTCCTGACTGAACAGCACTATGAACATACGGGATGCCACTGCTGACTGCCAGCACAAATGGTACAGTTTCTACTGCTGTCTGTTTAAAACATGCAACCAGCAAGTTGCACTAAATGAAAGAAATTTCCAGCCTCAATTTAGCGACAGATTGTGGACCACATGGGACGCACGTTGACCCTGAAGCACATAACTGCCCCTGCGCATATTGTGCATGGATATTGCCATACGAGCCACTCCACTGATAAGAAACTCTTTCAGAACCGCATTTTCCATTAATGCTGAACACTTCTTAGACATCCCATGAAAAGCATGATCCGTGAGTCCCTACCATCCATGGGCACCACAGCAGCAAACTCGACGCCATTGCTGGGAGTGCGCAGCCGGTTCAGCCTATTTGCGGATGAAAGCAAAGACAAGAGTTTATGCCGAGAGAACTACACAAATCAAGCAACTGGAAAACCAGTTCTCAATTGTCGACCAATGAAAACACCCATTCTGGCTAATTTTCTCGATGTAGATTGATTACATCAACAACAATAAGACAAAGCATGTGTAGGACAATGCTGGACTTGCACTCACTAGACCCAGGACTGAATTCATGCAAGCATGCGTGTGGCATGCTACGAGCTGATGCACACCAATTTACCTGTTGCACAGGGCACTTGCCATGGTTGACTTGCCGGAGCCTGGGCCACCTGCAATCCCCACCATGTACCTTCGCAATTTGTTCCAAGTCAACGCCAACAAACATTTACAACCAAATATTGGGACTGTGAGCAAACCAAGACAGGGGCAAGGGATGTGGGAGAGATCATGGTCAGTA